TGATTTAAATATTTCATGGTCTCCCATGGATTTCATCTCTTTATCCATGGCCTCCTTCCATCTTTCTTGTTCAACCTTTGGTAATGCCAACACCTCTTTATAACTTCTTGGCTCATACCACACATTGCAAACCTTTACCTTGTTGGCAGAATATCTGTCAGGCGGAATTCCTTTGTTAAATCGCTCTGACCTACGTGGTATTAACTGCTCCTGTGTCTCAAGTCTTTCTAGCTTCATGTCTTGTTCAGCCTCTCCTCCCTGAAAATGACATCTTCAATAATCATTTTTCCATCATTAGATGAGTTATTGTCATTAAATAGATCACCGTCATTAAGTGAGACATACCCAGAATTTGCATTAATTCTGTCCCAATTTTGTTCTACAAAATTAGCAGACCTTGAAATTACAATTCTTTTACTTTCATCGCTAAAGCGATATCCTTTTGACCCTGGCTCATTGCCCACAAACCTGAGCTTTCTTGCCTTTTGCTGTCCCTTTCTTCTGATTGCTTTCGGAATATGTACCCATGCAGTACTTCCAAAAATTCTCAAATGTGCCAGTGATGGCTTTCTCCCATATAGAATGGCATATGGAGTATTATTAATGGAGGAACTCCACAGCCTGTTAACTATATAATTGGCAGTCAATATGGCTTCTCCCCAATATGACCTGCTCATACCAGAATCCTCTAATAATGAATCTTTCATTGTTTGCAAAACACCATTCCTTCTTTCAGCTACACCGTTCTCTGCTGCTGTGTAAGAATTTGTACGTCTGTGTCTTATCCCCAACTGCCCCAACCATTGTTGGAATTTAGTTGACATAAATTCAGTACCTCTGTCAGTTTGCAACTGACACACTTGTTGTCTGTACCTTCTCTCTACAAAACTTACCCACTGTTTGAATTGTTGTAGCATTTCTGTCTTTGCTCTAAGCAAGTAGCAATTACCAGTGCATATTTTGCTCCTCCCAAACTGGCTTGCATAGGTCCCACCAGATCTGCATGGACCAGCTCTAGAGCTCTTTTTGTTTGTCTTGTGCTATATTTACTAACTGGGAATGCCTTTGACTTTGATGCTTTGCATACTGCACAGTCCAAATATGTTTTGCATCCCTTCAAATTTGGTCCTTCTGCAAACTCTTGCATTTGCTGCAAAACTTTAAAGTTTGCATGGCCAAGTCTTCTATGTAGAAGATGAACACACGAATCATGCTCTGCAACATTCTTAAATATATGGGAACATTCAACCTTTTGTCCCTGCAATTCATATAGATTATTTTCCTTTATGCCTTCTGCATAAATATTCCCATTCCTTTTGATGAGACACTTCCCATTTACAAAAATGATCTCAAAACCTTGTTTGTCTAAATTAGACACACTTAACAAATTATGTTCCATCTCAGGTACACAAAGCACATTGGTAAACTTTGATTCCAAATATAGAATTTTTACATCGCCTGTTCCAATGACTTTTGCTTTCTGAACATTTGCCAAAGCTACAGCTTCTTGTGCTACTGGAACAAATCTGCAAAATAATTCAGAGTCATTAACAATTGTTTGACTTGCCCCACTAACTATTAGCCACTTGTCTCTGTTGTTGCTATAGCAAACTTTTGCAACACCAAAATGTTCCTTTTGCAAATCAGTCTTTTTTGCCTGCACAAATGTCCTTCGCTGCAAATTGTTCCTCTGCAAACAGTTCCTTTTCAGATATGTCTTTGCTCCACAAATGTAGCAATTCTTTTCTTGTTGAGCCCTCTGCTTGCAAAATGTTTCTTCTCCGGAGACTTGCAGTCTGGACCCCCTCCTCAGGAATTTCACTTCCTCATGGCTGCTTCTGAAATGGTGCTTTTCTTCTTCATTAAACAAACATGTCTTTAAAGCCTCAAAATTTAAGTCTTGCTCTTCTTTACACTCAAATATTGCAGAAACTGTGTCCCAGGTTTTATCTAAACTGTTCAACACCAATAAAACCTTCTGGGACTCAGGGAATTTAATCCCACGTTGTTCTAAGTCCAAAAATAAACTTTGCATTTTATTTAAATGCTGCTGCACAGATTCACCTGGTTGCAAACAGGCCCTGTAAAGTTTTCTTGACAATTTCACTATATTGCATGCGGAAACATTCACATGCACAGCTCTCAACTTCAACCAAATCTCCTTTGCAGTCTTTAAATTTGCAACATTTAGAAATTGTTCATCATCTAAATTCAAGATTTAGCCATTGCTTGATCATGACTTTTCTGATCAGCACCTGCAAACACTTGTGGTGGATTTTCTACAATATACTACAGCTCTTTAGCTTTCAGCAAACATTCCATTTTAGCAGCCCATATAATGTAATTCTTCTGGCCCAAACGAGGCACAGAGTTTTCCTCAAATTCCATTGCAGCCATTCTGCTAATTCTGCCTTGTTCTTATACTTTCTAAACACAGGCAATTTATTCCAGCTTTAAATTACAATGCAGTCCTTAGTAAGCTCTGGGCCCATAAGCTGTTAGAGAATTTTAATTTCTCTGTTGGTGAAAAAATAAATCAGAAGCTCTCACAGTTTACTGCATTTAGCTGATTCAAAATAACTTTTTTATATTTATATCAAAATATTTACAACACCATACATTCTTCTTTACAGCAACATAGCTCAATGAAGACGTCTTACAGAGAGATACAGAGACAAACCTGAGACTGGAAATCCAGCTCCTAACTCAATACCCTTTTGCACAGACTCAGTAGCACTTTCTTCACATTGGCTGACTGAGTTACCACATGACTCTTCCTGCTCATGAATATTCCAACATTTTCCAAACAGGTGCACTTTATCCCTTGCCAAAAGATTCCCACCGCAAAAGCCTTGACGAAACGTTTCATGCAGCACATTTACCGATTGCATGGGGCATCCCAATGCATCATATCTGATAGGGGAGTGCAATTTACGTCAGCATTTTGGAAGGAATTTTTACCTTTCTTAGGAACCACTCAGGGACTGTCATCTAGTCATCATCCTCAGGGGAACGGTCAATCAGAATGTTGTAACTCAGTACTTGAGCAATATTTAAGATGCTTTCTTAATTTTCAGCAGTCGAATTGAATGGACCTACTCCCTTTTGCAGAAGTCGCTTACAATAACGCAGTCCACTCCAGCATAGGCTACACTCCTTTTCAAATAGCCAATGGTCAAAGTTTCAACCCCATGCCAGAATTAATCCCAAACGAACCAGCAAGCCCATCACTAAAAGAGTGGATAGAACAATTACAATACACCTGGCCAATAGTTAGAAAAGCCTTAGACGAAGCTAGGCAAGCATACAAAGCACAAGCAGGTAAAGAAGAGTTGAACCCACACCATTCATTTTAGGAGAAATGGTATATTTGTCTACAAAATACCTAAAATCCTTATAACCCTGTAAAAAACTTGGACCAAAATATATAGGACCTTTTCCAATTAAAAGAATCATAAATCCATTAACAGTAGAATTAGAATTACCCCGAAATCTCAGACAAATACACCCAATTTTTCACTGCAGTTTACTAAAAAGAGAACAACAGTCACCCTAATGGCCAAAAATCCCCCCACTACCACCGCCAATCATGGTGGAAGGAGAACAACTCTTGGAAATAAAGGAAATCCTGGACTCTAGGAGATATCATGGGACAACTCAATACCTAGTAGCATGGAAACACCTCCCCTCCTCACAAAACAACGTCATATCAGAGCCCCGAAACTGTTAAAGATGTTTCATACAGAGTATCCTAACAAGCCAGACTAACTTTTATACCTGTTTTATTTTCTCTACAGGTGGCTCTCTCTTATTTTTAAGGGGGGCAGTATGTCAGGATCCAGTTATATTTCCTTTCTATCTATCTCCTCTAATCTAAAACCAATTATTACTATTTCCTGGGTCCTGCCATACTCCCAAGGGGGAGGGGGGACATGCAGAGGGGTTTTATTACTTTCACTTCTTCCATTCACTACAAAGTAACTTTTTGTTTATTCATCTCTGCTAACTATTACAATGGAACCATTTGAAGTCCCTCTGAACTTCTCTTCCTTACCGGGAAACTAGAAAATGGGGGGGGGACACACATACCTCCAGAATCTGGTTTATTTCTCTGTCGTCAAGATAAAATCTGAAGAGCTGGTTAATGATCATGGAGCCGGTTTGATGTTATCGTTCATCGGTTTAACACCTAGAGAATTGCCGGCCTGAGTCGGCCAGAAGGAATGTGGGGAGGAGTTTGCATAGGGACACTTTAAAACATTGATGTATAAGGGAATCCCTCAGATCCTGTCTATTGTGCCTACTATCAGTTTATTTTAATAAAAATTCCTGTTGGAAGAGACTGCTTCCAAGAGTTCTGCTTTCTTAAGATGTGGATTGAAGTGGTTCCTTACATTGGATCTCTTTAGCAAGCTTCCCCCATTACTTCTTGTCCTGCCCTCTGGTGCTTTGGAGAATAAGTCAATCTCCTCTTCACTGTGACAGCCCCTCAAATACCGGAATACAGCTATCATGTCACCCATAATCCTTCTCATTGTTAGGCTAGTCATATCTAACTTTTTAAACTGTTCAACAAATGATTTAGCCTCCAGACCCCTTTCCTGCACATTTTCCAGGTTTCATATTTATGTTTCATATATACCATTTCCCCCCCAAAAATAAGACCCGGGTGTTTTTTGTTTGTTTGTTTTTCCTCCAAAAGAGGCACCAAGAGGGGTGTCTTTTCCATGGTCTTACTTTGCGACGGACGCACCAACTGTCCCACCCAGCCGGCCCACTTCTTCTGCAGCTGCTCACTGCCACTCGCATGCATCACTCCTGGCCTCCATTTCGCCATCAGAGGCCTTCAGGAAATGCCTCTGCAGCTGAGAATGGAGCTCCAGATTGACACGTGCGGTGCCCCTGGCCTGCATTTTGCTGTCAGAGGTCTTCCAGAAAGGCCTCTGCAGCTGAGAACCGAGCTACATATTCAATCAAATACAAAAAAGAGAAGAAAGAAATGAAACAATACAAATATAATGGGATACAAATACAAATGGAAAAATTCATGTCCCATTGGTCACAAATTTATGAAATGCATTATACAATATGATCTAAAATAATATCTAATTCGCCACATCATTAAAAATACTATTCTTTTTTTACCATGTGCTATCATTGATTTCTTCTCATTTCTGAAAATCATCTATACATGAAAGACCAGAATGTTGCAATGAAAAAGTTACTTGTGTTTCTCTACCCATAATAGGTATGTTGCACAGCCTGAAGTCTGTGGTGTCATCAGAAGCCCTGTGTGGCCTCCAGAGACCTAGAAACATTGTTTCCAAACTTGATAGTACTATATTTCATTTTAATATAAATTGTAAATGAAATGAAATTGGTTTTCAATTTCCCTACCTATTTCTTTTCAGATTATGGTGTTAGCATAGCTATCTCCGAGGTATGACATGGAACAAAAATGAGCCCTAATTAATAAGCATACTGGCACTAGTGAGTTGAAGTAAGCATGTCTAGTTATTCAGAAATATTAGGAACTATAAGAGTAATGTTAAGTTCTCTTTGTTAAAAAAAGAATAGTAGAGGATCTACTCAGGACTGAAAAACATAAGGATTGAATTAAATTAAATGTTGCCCTATGATATTAATTTTATTATTAAGCACAACTGGCAAATAAAGTATATCAATTTTTGTGCTATCAAAGTTCTGTACATCCTTTCTGTGTAATTCTTTTTATTGAGCTCAAACATTACCATAATATATTCAAAGTCTCTATATACATATATTTGATTCATTTCATATTTTCCCATATTGCTATGTTAATACTGTTAAGCAAAAATTATTTAATCTAAACAGTTAAAATTACTTGAGAAAACATTTATTGCTATTATACAGAACAGGGTATATACAGAATGTGCTTCCTATAAAATGTGTACTTCACAAACTTAAAATGCTGTTTGAATACAAATTTTAGATTTGATTATACAATATATTACATATATTAATTTATATACAGTGATAGCAGTGAGTGGCATCTTGTGTATAATAGTTCTAAAAATTGCCAACTCCATACAAATAGGGAAATAATAATCCTATGTATGTTTACTCAAAAGTCCTACTGAATTCATTGGCATTTATCTAGATAGGTGCAAATAAAATTGTCATCTAAATGATTACCTCTTAGTATTTCCATAATCTTTGATATTACCATCTGACCAAAGCACTCTTATTGTTGTTAAGGAGCAAATATTGCAATATTGCAATAGTGAGTAATTTTAATGGCCTTCACATAAACTGGATAAAACATATACTATTTTCATGGAAAGATATAAATTGTAAATAATATTAAGAGTTGTGCATTAAAAGACTAGACATAGAATGAACCAGAGGCAATTCTGAATTTAGTCCACAGGTGCAAATATTGTTTAACTGACTAGAAACAGGAAGCACAGTGTCATCAAAGTTAATTTATACATAACAAGAAAATTGCCAAGGAAGTCAACCATAAAAAGGATGTTCAGGGAAAAAAAGAGAGCAAGAATTGGATTTCAACAGGCAGGTATCCAGATATTCTGGACTACAAATCCCATAAACTATGACTTTGGGGGCTGTGTTTATGTTTTAGTCTAAACAGCTTGTTGGCATCCTTAGCAGTAACTAGACCATAATGTATGGCTGCACTCTCTAATTCCTTATGAAATAATAGAAAAATTTACTAAACAGCTGTGGCATTCATCTGGCCGGTCGTGTGTATATCACCTATGTATGTAATATTTAATTTTTATCCCACCTATTACTTTATAAATAACTCTAAGGTGACAAACATACATAATATTCCTTCCTCCTATTTTCCCCACAACCATCCCATGAGTGAGTTAGGCTGAGAGACAGTGACCGGCCCAAGGTCACCCAGTCGGCTTTCAAGCCTAAGGTGAATTCAGTCTCCTATCTTCTAGGCCAGCAACTTAACCACTACACCTAATTGCTCTCTTAAAAAAAGAAAAAGTTATAGTACATGCTCTGATGCTCACACAGCCCCAGATGGAGGTGTAGAATGCTGAGAAACTTGTGAAAGCTGATTCCAAAAACTGGGAAATTTGGGGAGGTGTAAGCACATTATCAAAAAACTGGCTTCAACGTTCATTGCTGGAGGGACAGAATTCTTCATAGGCAGATTATCTCTATCTTGTTACTGCTTCAACTATTCTTTTTTACACACTTAATATATTATCATAATAAAAATTCCACATAGTATGCAATATCCTTTTTATCTAAAATTTAATACTGGCTTTCAAGTGATTAATAAGCTAAAGTGCTATTATATTTCTTTAACAAAAGGAAATCAAAACTCAGAAATATTACAAACACACACATACATACACACTGTTTTGTCTCCAAAATACAATTTAATCCACTCCTGTTGATATCCCCAAGAAATTTGTTTTGTCTTCTTCAGCATCTTTCTTCTGAAACCAGGCTTTTGTACTTTTCCCCTGAAGATAAGCGTCAAGAAAGTAGCAGATTCCAGGTATATCACTTGGAAAGTTGGGAGGAAGTTCTTGTCTTGAGCGAGGAGTAAACACAAAGCCAGGGTGATCCTTTATCAACCTGCAATGAGAATGAAAAGTATTATTACGTATTTCAGATATAACCTGTACCTCTCATCAGCATAGTTAGGAGACTGGAAGAGCTATCATCACTCCACATAAGGTAACATGGTAAGAATTCAGAAAAATGCCACTGGACAGAAGGAAGGTTTCAGATCATTGTTACAGGGGTAAGGAACAAGCAGCAAAAGCGAGTACTGGACATGGTAAGATACTATACCTGTAGGTAGTGGGGCTGACATTTATTTTCCTAGGGATACTGCAAGACTCAAACTTGTTGGCAAGTGTTACATTGTTTCCAAATAGACAGTAACGTGGCATTTTCACACCAACAACCCCAGCAAAAACAGAGCCAGAATGTAGTCCTATACGCATCTTTTATAAGAGAGAAAGAAGAAAGAGATGTTAAAAATCATAACCACATTTAGCGAAAATGAAAACATTATTGAGTTCTACATATTTCTATATGTCAGGATGAATTGTGAACTCAGTTTGGATGCTGTATTCAGTTGAGTTCCAATGCTTAAATTTTAGAGGCTTCTAAAATATGAAATACTGAGATAATTCAAATCTATCATATATAGAAAGATTCAACCACAGCCTATAATAAAGAAACATCAAAATCCTTAAAGTCTCAAATATGTATGTTATCACTATTGCATGTGATAATATAATAATATAGTAAGCATTATATACAAAATAGTCTAAGAGCAAGCACCATATCTAAAACCCAATTTTGCAAAAAAAAAAAAAAGTTTTCCTGCTGCTCATAGTCATCTTCTACTCAAACATGCCCAATTTTACAAGATTGGGAGATTTAAAAAAAGCAGGACAACAAATTATCTGATGTCATTCATCTGTCCTGCTAATGAACTATGAAAACCTCAAGTTAATATGAAATACAACTCACAACAAATAGACTAATGCATCATTAATATGAAATATTATTTGCATATTAAATTAAAATGTGTATGAAAAAAGCATACACAGTAATATTACATGGGACAGTAATAACAGAAGAGATTTCCTGAAAACAGATAATCCACTGCAATAACATCACCCATTCCTCCCATTCACAAAAAAAGTGCCTAACTATCATAACATTAACATACATGAGCGGAAAAAAAGGATGAGAGGTTTGAACTCTGGATTTGTTACTTTGCATCTTAAGAAGACAGAACTCTTGGAATAATCCAATTATATTTCATCTTTAATTATCAAATATAGAAACTCCCAATTCTGCCTTCTCTGGATTCTGCCATAAGAGGGAGAGAAGGGGGAGAACAAAGGGGCTTTATGACCCTCACTTCCTTCACTAGACTTCTAAGGAGCTGAATGTGTTTATTGCAACATCAAAGAGAGACTTTGAATGTAAATAGCATCAAAGAACCTTACCATGACAAAAGAGAGCTATTTACCTTTCATGTAGTTATCTGAAGTCTCCATACAGACGAAAGAAAGGAGCAAGGGGGTGGAATTGTGATGCCTGAAACTATCACTGGAAGGGGGGGGTGATTGGGTGGGACTGCTGGGGAACCCCTTAAAACCTTGAATGGGAGAGCTTGGACCCCAAGTCCTGTCTAGCACGCCTGCAACCACTTCTTCTTAATAAAGGATTCCTGTTGGAAGAATTATTCCAAGAGTTCTGTCTTCTTAAGATGCAAAGTGGGGTGGGTCCTTACATTAGACAGGACTTGCAAAATTAATCCACCTGGAAGGGAGACCCTTGCCGGGGGATTTTGCAAAAATTTACCATGTCAGACAATGGAGCAAGAGAGGGGGAAAACTCCCTGGAAAGAGAGCCGCTGACCCAGTTGGAACCTTGCCAGATGTTGGGATCCGAGAGGTCAGATTCCTCGGGAGAAGAAGTGGTGGAGACACGGGACCACAAGCCTCGCTGGTCAATGGGCATTGGAAAGAAAAGTGAGTGGGGAAAGGAATCAAGAAAGGTGACCCTGAGACGGGGGACCAAGCAACCAGAATGGAAGCAGGAGATGGAGAAATCCCTGCACACAAGTGAAGAGGGAGGAAGCTGGGCACCGTACTCAGACTGGATCCTAGAGAAAGCTATTGACCTGATGAAGAGAACTCTCAGCTCCCTAGGAGAGGAGAATACTGAGCCCTACGGCCGCCCCAGTTCCTGGAGCCACAAAGGGAGAGACACCGAGGGGGACGTGGAACCTGCAACCCCAGGGACATCTACTGATCCAGGAGCCCCCACCCCCTACCGGACCACAGATGGCAATCTGGATGGAAGACACTACCACCCACAACGGAGGCACCGATCCATTCCAAGACGTCCACCGTTGGAGGTGAAATTCAAAGGGGAGCCAACACGCTTGGGGTTTTTCCTAACCCAAGTCCTCAGCTACATGGAGGAATATGGGCAGGACATTCCCAGCGACAAAGCCCGCATCCGGATCGTGCAATCTGCCCTGGATGGACCAGCTGCAGATTGGGTGGTGAACTTGCATGACTCCAATGCCCCAGAACTCAGTAACTTCAACCGTTTCATGTCCTCTTTGAGAAGACGATTTGAAGACCCCCTGGCTGATCGCAAAGCCCGCGAAAGGATAAAAACGATGAGGCAAGGCAAGGCAAACGCCCAGTGGCTGAGTATACACAAGAATTCTGGGCCATTGCCAGCAAACTGAATTGGCCAGAAGACATCCTCCTTGGCCATTTCAAAGACGGACTAAACTATGATCTATATGATGCTTGCCTGCCCCGAGGGGACCCACATCGACTTGAGGAATGGTACGTCTTGGCAGAGGAAGCAGAGATCGACATATTGAAGAGGCACCGCCGAGGAAAACAATGGAGCCGCCCCCCGCCTGAGCTGACACACCAACCGGTGAAATCATCGGATACAGCCAAGAAGCAAATGGGGTGTTTCAAGTGCGGAAGAGAAGGGCATCGAGCTGTAGAATGCCGCTCAAAGGCCCCCCAGCACAACCCAGACAGATCCCCAATCAACAAACCCGGAAAGTCTTCAGCTAAGCCAAAAGAAACGGCCATGAGAATGATGGAAATTGCAGAACCCCCCACTTCTGCTCACCAAGGGGAAAGAACTCCAGCCTACACCACAGGGCCGGTGGATGCCTCAGATGACAGCTCAGAGGGCGAACCCCTGGTAAGTGGATGCATCACACCCATCTTCAAAACAGTGACTATATTAATCCCCCCCATGCCCGAAGCTGTGAAGGTGAAAGCCTTAATAGACTCTGGCTGCACCCGCTGCCTCATTAGCCCAACACTAGTGGGGAATCTGGGCATCCCATCCAGGAGACTGGAACAACCAATCTCATTTGGCCAGCTAGATGGATCCATAGCAGAGGGGGTGCCAGCTACCCTAGCCACTCTGCCAATACACCTCTCCCTGGGCAACCATGAAGAGGACATAACGTTTGTGGTGACCCCAGGTATGGAATGCCCAATGATTCTAGGGATGGAATGGTTGAAAAAATGGAACCCCTGGGTAAATTGGAGGACGACAGAAATCAAATTCCCGAAGGGGGACCCTATGGACTTAAAACCCCAAGGGAGGCTACCAGAATCAAGAATAGAAAAAGCATCCATAGGAGAGGAAAAAAGATTAACAGAAATACCAGAGGAATATAGGGACCTTGCTGAGTCTTCAGTGAGTAGAGGGCGAATGAGCTTCCCCCCCACTGACCCACAGACTGTACCATTGAATTCAAGCCTGGGGCAAAACTCCCGAAGCCCAGATTATACTCCATGAGCCCAAAGGAGAAGGAGGAAATGGAAAGATTTATTAAAAAAAACCTAGAGAGAGGTTTCATTGAGCCAGCCAAGCCTAAAGTGGCTGCCCTGGTCCTTTTTAGAGAGAAGAAGGATGGCTCTTTACGTTTATGCGTGGATTATAGGGCCCTGAATACAATCAGTGAAAGCAACCTATACCCGCTGCCCCTCATGAAAGACATGCTGTCACACCTATCGAAAGGGAAAATTTTCTCTAAACTAGACCTAAGGGAAGCTTACTATCGCGTGAGAATTAAGGAAGGGGATGAATGGAAGACTGCATTTAACTGCCCCATGGGGTGCTATCAATTCAAAGTCTTGCCATTTGGATTACAAGGGGGCCCTGCAGTCTTTATGCAATTAATCAATGACGTTCTAAGGGAGCACCTGTTTAAGGGGGTCCTTGTTTACTTGGACGACATTCTTATCTTTACTGAAACAAAAGAAGAACACGTCAAACTTGTCAGAGCGGTTTTAAAGAAGCTGCGAGCCGCTCACCTATATGCCAAACTCTCAAAATGCGAATTCCACCAGGAAAGGATAGACTACCTAGGCTATCGCATATCCCCACAGGGCATTGAAATGGACCCAGAGAAGGTCAAAGCAGTATTAGATTGGGCGCCACCCCGCACAAGAAAGCAACTACAAAGTTTCCTGGGCTTTGCAAACTTTTACCGCCAATTCATCCCCTCATTTGCCCAGATAGCTTTGCCCCTCACTAACTTACTAAAAACGAAGGGAGCATCCTCAGTAAAACCTAGCCAGCCACTAACATGGACAATGGAGTGCCAAGCAGCGTTTGAGAGATTAAAGAGACTTTTCTCTGCCGAACTAGTACTAAGGCACCCAGATATGGACAAGCCCTTCATAATACAGGCAGATGCAAGTGATGTGGCAGTGGGGGCTGTGCTATTACAAGAAAATAATGATGCAGTATTGCAACCCTGTGCATATACATCCAAGAAACTCACGGAAACAGAACAGCGCTGGCCCGTATGGGAGAAGGAGGCTTATGGGATACATTGGGCATTACTCACGTGGCGACAGTTCCTGGAAGGCAACAAAATCCCCTTCCAGGTGTGGACCGATCACAAAAATTTTCACCAATTCCAGTTTAAGCTCAAACATTTACCAGGGAGAAAGAACTTCCTGGCAGATGTTCTATCTCACATGCCTCAATATAACAGCGCACGAACCACAGACTCTAGACCAATAATGGCAGAGTCACAACTGGCAGCACCAGTAACCACAAGAACCCAAGCCAAATTAAAACCACAACTGGACAGCCAAACTGGAATTGAATTCAGAAAAAGTTTGGAAACAGATGAATGGTTCCAGAAAAACAAAAATGTGTGCACAATGAGAGACGGGTTGCCTTGGGTAGGGGAAAAGTTATATATACCAACAACCCAAAGAATCACGTTCATGCAGCTTTGCCATGACACAAAATCAGCAGGGCATTTTGGATTTGTAAAAACTTTACACTTAATTAAACGGCAATTTTGGTGGCCATCAATAAAAAAGGACATAGAAAGTTATGTTGCCAGCTGCCCAACCTGTGCATCGGCAAAGAGGTTGCAAGGGAAATCGCCAGGGCTATTACAACCAGTGGC